ACCGAGCTTCGCTTGCGGCGGCGGAAGGGGGTGGGGGGTGGGGTTGGGCGGTTTTAGCGGTTCATTTTTGGTTTTGGCAGGGGGGGAGGGTGGTTTTTGAGAGTGTAAGGAGAAGGTGGAGAAGTAAAGGAAACTCACATGCCAAAAGCCGTTTTAAGTCCAAAAGAAGACACAAAGGTTTCTCTATGTAATACCGGTGCAAACATGACCAGCATTGGGCTCTGTTTTGCATATGCGACCTTAGGCTTCTTGGCGAGTGCCCGCTGATTTTTTTTGGTCTTTGGGGATACTTGCGGGCGTGTCTTTGGCAAGGCTGTTGCGGTTTCTGGGAGGCCCTCGAAAATGTTGTTCGGACCGCAGGTCTTGGCTGTCTCTTCGGCGCAGTTCAATCCTTTGTTTTAAATCAAGGCTAGCCATCTCCAGTCCCCTAAGAAAAGGTGAGCCAGAGTAGCCAAGTCTGATTCATGGCCGGCTGCCGGTTGCTGGCGTCCAAGAGACCCGGCGCCATGGCCAGGGCTCAGGTTGCCGAAGGGCAAAAACACGCACGCTCGTGCGGGTTGGTTGGAGGTGTCCCTGCGCTTTTGTCTCAATACGTGGATGGCCCGGCAACTTGGAAAGATAAAATTCATAGGGTTGCCGCCGCGCCAAATGATCAAGTCACAGAAAAAGGCAATAGACCATGTGGTTTTTGGTTTCGTTGGGTTTGTCTTGAAACCATTTCTACCTGGACTCTAAGGGTTGGCTCCCCATTCTTTTCAACCATCGTTCTTTTCAAGAACCAGCAGTGTTCCCTGGGTTTGCGGAGGTTTTCTAGAAAGAAGGATCCCTGGAAGGAATGGGGAAGGTAGCACTAGATTAACAGGTCTTCGGGTTGCCTGCCCATGTTTGCCACCCGCGCTCCTCATGGAGTGTTCGAAAACCCGGAGGCGGAGCGGTGCTTCGAGTCAGAGGCCTGTGCCAAGCAGGAGGAGCTGCAAGCAGATCTCGTAGCCGCCCGGGCGGAGGCGGGGTGGAGATGGGTGATGGGTGGAGACGCGAAGCAAACAATCGGGGGGAGGGTGGGGTGTGTGTGTGTGTGTGTGTGTGTGTGTGTGTGTGTGTGTGTGTGTTTTTTTGAGTTTGTGACTTTTGTGTGTGTGTGGGCATGGCTTAAGCACCGCTCTGCGGATTTTGGCATTTGTTTTGGGGATGTGTTTCAATGGCTTCCGCGACCCTTTCCTAAGAACTGCACGCTATCGCACGCCTTGCTTCTCCCAAACCTTGATCCAGCTCTGAACATCCAGATGTGTTGAAACCACTCCAACAGCCCGTTGCCTCTTTTGGCTTCCGATCTTCAGCTGGCCAGCCGTAGTTTGTTCGGCTGGCTCGCAAAGCTGCGCAAAGCTGCGCAAAGCTGCGCGTTGTCTGCCTGGTTGTTGCGGAACCGGGGGGGGGAGTTGGGACCCAAGCCATTTTTTCGGAATTCCTTGGCCTTCGCTTCTTCGTGCAGTCCTGCCTTACTTGAGCCTGCCTGATGCCCATGCCCCCTCCTTGCGAGCTGCAGCCGCAGCGGCCCTCGTGCTGGCGGACCCCAGCTGGGAGCCCCCTACTTGGCAGGATGTGTTGGCTGGCGCTTTGCCGGCCGCGCGCTCCGATGATGCTGACAGCTTGTTTCTCAGCCGTGGCGCAGCCCGTGGGTGGCAGCGGCGTGCCACTGCGGTCCTGGAGGACCGTCTCTTCCAGGACCTGTCCCTCCACCTTGACCCCTCTGCGCTGGCGCTGTTGCGAACGGGCGGCCGCCCGGGTGCGCAGTGAGGCTGGGGCCCGGGTGACCACCAACACCCGCTTGGCCGATCTCAACCTGGTGGTTGACCACATCGATGACCGGCGCCTTGAGGTCATTGCGAATGGGTTGTCCTTGCATGGCAGTGCCCCGCTGGCTGTCGACGCCACTTTGGCCTCGCCCCTGGACTCTGCGGGCCAACCCCGCCGCCGTGCGGGGCGAACACGGGGCGCGTTCTTGTTGAGGCGCAGTTGCGGAAAGCTGCGGCCGTTGTCGGTTGGTCGTCCTCGCGCTCGAGGTCGGTGGCCGCTGGAGCTCGGTCCCGCTCCCGGGAGGCTGCGCCTGCCCTACGCCCGGCCGTTGCTGCAGCTCTGGTCGCTCGGTTGTCTGCTCTGCTCCCCTCTGCAGCCCAGCTTTCGTTTCCCGAGTCCTTATCTCGGTGACGGCCTCGTGGGGGCCGCCGGGATATAAATGGCCAGCGAGCTGGCCTCCGAAAAAAACAGCCGCCAAGACGTGCGAGAAAAAAAAAAAACGCGACCCACGAACGTGGCTTGGTCGTTCTGGGCACGCCCATTTTTTCTTCTTTCTCGCGCGCCTTTTTCCGACTGCGTGTCGTGTGGCTCACCCCCGGAAAACCCTGCTTAAAGGAGCGCCCCCGGGCACTGGGCTGTTTCTGTGGAGGCCAGCCTCCCCAGATGCAGCGCCGTTGTCCCGGTCACGGGCACAGGCAGCCAGCTGCACTCGGGCGCTTCGGAGTACCGGAAGTCAGCAAGAACGTCGCTGACATCCGGCACGGGCCCGTCAAGGTTGTGCACGCCGGCGCCGGGCAAAAGAAATGAGGGCCGTCACCGCGCGCGGTACGTTGCGGCACCAGAGGCTTGCAAGTTATTTGGCACGGAGCGAGCATGGGCCCGGGCAAGCAAGCAGACAAACTGCCCGGCCTCAGCGCTCCAGCCGCCTCAGCGCTCCAGCGGCCACCCACTTCAAGTCCGACAAAGACGTGACAAGGCGGCACCGATGGGAGGAAAGGATCTCACGGTAAGTCCTCAGTGGCTCGCCGAGCAAGACGGAGCGCGCATGGCCGGCAGAGCCCAGGGCCGAGACGAGGGTCGTGTCAACCGCGAGCACGCCCCCCCAAAAGGAAGGCCATTGGCGATATCCTCGATGCGTGTGTCATCAAGGCTGTCAACATGCACGTTCAAGTCTCGAAGGGGCGTGTGGGTGGTCACAGTGGCACCGGCTTCACGGCAGACTCTGGACTCTGGCGGTGGCGCGCTCAAGGGGCCCGGCCCGCGACAACTCCGGGGAAGTAGGGACAGCAAGGATGAACTGAACAACCTTCACATCCTTGCCCTTTGAGGCTAACCTCCCCGCTTGGGACCGGAGCAGCGCCTTCAAAGACGGCGGCAAGGCTGGCAACAGCATGCGATCGCGGTAGTGTGAGTGGCGTATTCGCGACGAAGGTTTGCAGCCTCGAGGGGACAGTCGCCCAGCCTTCCACTTGCAGCTGGGCCCGGGCCGCCCGGCACGATGTGCCTGTATGAACGCGAGCGCATCAGCCCAACCCGCCCAGCCGCGGCCCGCGCAGCCGAGCTGAGCCCCAAACCACCCATAGCGGCTGGAAGGCCTGCAGCAGCCCGCATACGCGAGACGTGAGGGCGTCGAGCCACCCAAGCACTGAAGCGTCCCGCAAAGCACGACAAGGCGGTAGCAACCACGCGCATTGTAGGTCCGGGACGCGGGGCAGCATGTCAAGGAACACGCGCTCCGTGGCCACGCGGTTCTGGGACCATGTGCACAAAGTCCGCGACCGTCCTGCTCCCTGAGACGCGGGCCTTCGCAGCCTTCTGCAGCTTGAACAGCCGGACCTTCTGCCCGTCTCGGCTGCCAGCGCTGCCCAGCTTGCTTTTCGCCACGGTGGACTCGGTCTCCGCAGCGCTGTGCAGCACGCCCCTGCCGCGTTTTGCGCATCTTGGGCGGATAGTTTGCCTTCCCTTGCAATCCGGGCACCCGACGTGCTCGCCACTCTCCTGCCTCAGCTTGAGTCCCCTCAGCCCGACTCCGCTTCGGCGTGCTCTCCTGGCCTGAGCCTGTCCTTGACGAGGGCCCCTCAGAAGAGCGCCGGCTGCCTCCCACGTCTGGTGCCCCGCGGAAGGCTCGAAAATGGGGATCCAAACCCTCGCAAGAATCGAAACTGGGACATGCAAGCGTTTGTGCGTCCCAGTATTCTTGCGCCACTATGTTGAGAACAAGGATGCGGGCCTTCGTAACCACTATAGTCTATATGGTGGTTAGTGCAAACCGGCCGCATTCTTGTCTTCAAAATGGTGGTGAAACAATAGTACTGAGTATAGCACTTCCAGTTGCTAAGTGGGCAACTAAGGCACCATGCCGTCTCAAAGAAAGAAAATAGCACGGGACAATCAAGAGGGCACAATGATCCTGGGAAGGCCCAGTGCCCAATTTTACCGAGAGGTACCTGGTCTTTGGGCACGTGGTTCTCCCATAGGGTCACTGTGCCTGCTGTTTTTTTTGAGCCGGCACGTTTTTCTTCTTCTTCTTTTTTTTTGGGGGGGGGACGGGGACGTGAGTCCAGAGCATCCAGAGCATTCCTAGTCACAGTCACAGCTACTGGTCAGCATTGATGTCGAAAAGAGATGCCATATTTGCATCCAAGTATGGATTGAAGAGTTCTGAAAAGCTCTGGTGGTTCCATTTTCGCGGTTGCTGGGTAAAGTTTTAGAACATGTCTGGTGCTGATACCCTCAGTTTTCTTGTGCACATTTTTTTTTGTTTCTTATGCACTGGGGTCTTGTGAGGAGGCCTGAGGTTTATTTGTGTATGCACCGGAACGCTGTGGCAAGCTTGCGTCTTGTGGCACACGTAAGTGCCGTACTCATTCAGGTGGCAGCAATCGTGCCGTTTCTTTGGTGCATTTTGCTTGGATGCTAGGACTTTAACTTTTTGCCAATTGATGGGCTTTCCATCAAACCACTAATAGAAACTTTTAGCAGGGGAGCAAGCAGAAAGCAGCCGAGGCACTCCTTTGGCTTCAGGTGCTGCATACGCCTGTCATTGCAACAGCATTTGGTATTTAGCAACGGGATCGTGCCTGGGAAGCGGAACCAAATCGAGTTTGCATTTGCCTTCGGCCTTACAAAGCACATGACGCAGCATGAAGCGACAAATCCTCAATTGCGAAACAACTGAGCGAGCTACAATGAGCCTGCTGGCAGTTTGCCTCACCCATGGGTGGTAGCCCTTTACCAGCTTGTCTCTCGCCATGATCCTTTAAAGGGCGGCGATGGCTATCGGACTAGCCTCACCCCGATGAGCGGTTTCCAGATCGGCTGCCGCGTGCGAGTCCTCCGCGGGCGACAGTTCGCAGAATTCAAAGAAAGCGCCCTGAGCAGCACTTGGGTGTGGCTCAAAATTAAAGAGCTAGGGTTACGCGGTTTTAGTCTTTGTTTCCGTTTACCTTTTGGTTCCATTTTGGGGCACAGCCACTTGGGCATGCAAACGCGCCCCTAATCCCAGAGGGGTCCCTTGGTACCTCCTGAGGATGGCTTCTGGGAGTAAAAAAGGGTCCAAGTGCCTCCTTAGAAGGTACTTGGACCCTCTGCGAATGTGAAGGCAACCGCATACCTTCAACAACCACTCGGGGTTCCCCGGCCTGGACCCACAGACATATGAACAGCCTGATGGTTTTTCTGTCCTCCACGTTCTGTGACTGAAGCACTCTCGCCATCAAATGGCTGCACTGTGCCGACCGCAAACCCGCATGTAGCACGAGGTTTGCTCCCCAACAGCTTAAAGCTAGGCGGTCTTGTTGTAAATTAGCTTCGCCGTGATCCGGGGCGGCTCCGAGCTAGAGTTCCGGGGGTTGTTCCTTTTGCTGTTGGAGATGCAATCTGGGCTTATGTTATGCTGAGTGCAGTTTAGCAACTAGATCTGCCAGTGGTGCCCTTTTACCCTTTTTTGGTTGGGGGGGTTCCCCTACTCAAATAGCCTACAGGACAAAGGGTATCCTTATTCTAACCTCGGCAACAACGCGCTCACATGGAATTCCGTAGGTGGTTTCATGCAAGCTGCTTTGGGCGCTAAGGAGATGAAGGAGTAATCCTGGAAATCAACGATGAGTGCCGGAACTGAAGCTTGGCTTGCAACATTGCCATGGGTCAGAATCCAAGTCGCACCCCCAGTGAACATCCCAATCCCCATTAAAATAGGTTCTAAAATGGGTGGTCCTACCGCAAAATGGAATCCCATTGGGTTTGACCCACAGCCATATATTTTCTGCATTTCCTCATTGTTGCAGGCTCCGTTCCTGACTGCTCTGCCAGGTGTGGTCGTGTTCGATGGACGGAAAGAGAAGGTTCAGGCAGCTTGCTCGACCCGTGCATGTGCTGCCATCACGGATGCGGACGTGTACGTGTGCCGTCGAAAGTGGCAAGAGTTGTTCAACGGTGCTGCATTGGATCCTCATCATACCGCGTAGGGATATTAGTGTTACGCTGGGCCCATGGGCGGGGTTCTGAGTTTTGTTTCTTTGTGTCTCGTCCAAGCATAGCGCGCAGGTGGCTCTCAAGCATTTGCGCGTTGTGGCGAATGGCCGAAATCCAGATTCAGGCCAGGGGCATGCCAGGGGAGCGCAGCGAATTGGCTTGCTGGCTGGTGCTTGCATGGTGGCAACTGGTTGGAGCGCATGATGGTTCCACATTGCAGTTTTAACAGTTCATGTGCCAGGTGGCTTCACTTTTGCACAGGCATGACCTAACCAGCATGCTACCCCATCATGCTAACAGGGCTTGCCCAGTCATGCTACTTGGGAAGGTTTATTTTGAACATCATCTGCTTGCGAGCTTTGAAGTGCGTTGCGGGATGGCGTTGCAGGTTGAAGGAGGTTTAACTGTCGGGTTGGTTCCGGCAGTGTTCCGGAGCCCATATGCATCTTGGTTGCTCAAGATCAGTATTGTCTCTTGTAGGCGGTTTAAGATGGAGGGTTGGTGAATCTTAATCAACAACCCTTGCTGCAAAAAAGGCCCTGTATTTAGGAAGCCGCAAGTCGCAGGGACCATATCATTGGGCTTGGTTGGCAGGGGATCGGCGGGGAACATGTTCGACACTTTCTAAAGAAGTCAGCCATAGTCAGCCCATTTTGGCGAGCTGCTGGGGCAGTCATTTTCATTTTCCCTGGCGCGGCTTTCGAACAACCCTTGAAATCTCGCACATGTCACCTGGACGAAAAGCACAAACACACCACACAGACACACCGTCAGGATGTGCTACTCTGTCAAGTTTCGTGGCACCCGAGTCATGCAACGTTGAACTCATTGCGGGGGGGTATGGGTCAAAATTAAAACCACTAGGGGGCCGCAGGTTACCAGGGCAACCCATTTTGGGTACATATTTTTGACTCACAGCCATATATATATATATATATATATATATATATGCCAGGATACCTTTTTTCAGCGTCTCAGTTGACTAAACGTGTGGCAAGCGAAGGAGAGCGCAGGGAGCTGAGGCTCGGCCTCCCCCCGTTCCGGGTCGGCCCGTAGGTGCATCGGAGCGGTCCCCGAAGGTTTTGGCCAAGGAAATCGCCAACGAGATGCGCCCCTCGGGCCGCATGGGTTCCAACTGTTCCCAGTTTTTGTTTTTTTGGAGAGAAGTGATCCTTGGAAATAGCTTTCCATTTCACCCCAGTGTCAGTGGAAAATGTCCGTATTCAAAGGTAACTGAGCAGGCTGTCCATGTCTCAAAAGAGCGCCTCACACGGAACAACAAGACGTGTGCGTCTGTGATTTGGTTGAACTCGACCACATTTTGGTTTGGTGTTCAGGGAGGCCAGCAAGCAACCACCCACCACCATGGTTCCAAATCTCGCCAAGCCGACGGCAGCTTGGTTGTCTTTTTTTTGCGGGTTCAGGAGTCGGTCCAATTGCTCAACTAGGTCCCCCAGTATTGCCCTTTCTCACCCCTTTTTTGGTTGGGAGGGTTCCTCAACAAAAAATAATACAAGAAAAGGGTACCCTTATTCTAACCTCTCTACTGGAGGACCAGTCAAGCGGATGTGAGCGCAAGCAAAACAACTTGCGTAAACGTTTGTTCAAGCCCGAAACGAGGCAACCGTGTACATGGGAAGCTCCATGAGTGTCTTTCAGGGCAGGGTTCGGCAGCTGGTCAGCGTCGATCAAATGCTTCAGTCTGAGGAATCAAACGGGGCTGGGGTGTGTCGTTCTTGGAGCAAACGGGAAACCAATGAGAAATGACCATTTTGGGCTCTCTGTTTTGAGACGCCCAACGTGCCCCGAATGGGAGGGATATGGGAGGCCTGCATTCCCCAAAACTTGGGGGCGATCTCTCCTTTGGGGGACCCTGGAGTTTGGTTGCTCTTTTTGGTTTCCCATTAAACCCGCCCAATGAGCTCTTTGACCCCTGGGGGTGACGTGGCAGAAAACAACGCAAGCTTTCCAGTGCCAAGGGCTGGCAGATCTCTCCACCGTCCAGGCGCGGGGAGGGGTTTGAGACATGCACCTGGAAAGGACAAGGCCGTTTTGTCGGTTGTTTCATTTTTTGCTTTTTTGGAAAGAAAGGGAGAGGATGTAAGGAGGGTGGGAGCCCACGTTTTACGGTTTCCATGTGTCATTAGAAAGGGATCACATCAGGCACGTTGTTGATGCCCTGGGCACGTTTAACCGATGTGTCCAACAAACCGTACAGCAACACAGCAATCAAACAGCCACTTTGCACTACAAGAATCCCTGGAAGGGAAACACAGTCGCTCTGGGCCATCCGTAAGCTGACATGACTCAGGTGTCAGCCGATGCCGTTATGTCGAACCCAATTCGGGATATCACACGGGTCCCCGTTTACGCTGGGAGCATAAGGGCCCAAAGCTTTCGCCCGACTTTTAGGTCCCCCAGTAGTGCCCTTTTACCGTTTCTTTGTTGGTTGGGAGGGTTCCCCTACTAACATAGACTACAAAAAAAGAGGTTGGTACCCTTATTCTAGCCTCTCTACTGGAGGACCTGGATGGTTTACGGAGTCAAGGGCGCAGTTGGGAAGTCCTCTCGCCAATTTCCATGGAACCTGACGGGTGCCTTTGAAAGGAACATGGTCTTCGCACAACTTCCCTGGCAGGTTCCATGCTTGGTGCAAGGGTCAATGGCTTGCAATTCCAACAGCTTGGTTGCTGACTGTTTTAACCTTCCCCATAACTTACCTGTGTGTATGTCACTTCTTACGTATTTAGTTGCTGGACCAATGACTCTCTAAGTGCGAGCTCACCGCAGGTGTTGGAGGCTGAAGTGCAGGACCCGGATTCCGTATCCTACTTGCTCCTTGCCTCTTTGCAGTCAAAGCGCTGCAGACTTCTTGCCACAGGTCTGAGGCCAAGCTGAGACCATACTTGGATACAAATATGTTAACCCCGGATTTTGCGAAACCTTTTGGAGGGAACGCCCCCCAACAAGGGGGGGTATATTAATCCTGGGTCAACATTACTTGACCCAAGTCCTCTTCGCAGGTACCGCCCAAGCCTCGGAGGTGTATTGTAACTCTGGGGGAGGAAGCGCGGCATATGTTGTTTATCTGCCAGAAAAGGAGGAGATCTGCCATGTGCCTGCGGAGGGTCCGTGGGCGCATCAAAAACCGAGGAGCCGCCAATACACTGGTCAGTTTGGTTGAAAATGGATGGCTCTGGTCGCAGGTTGGTTCAATTCATCTACCCGCGCCGTTTTTGTTTGGAACTTCTATTTTGTGTGTACATATTGAAAGGAGATCATTGAATCATTCCCCTGCGTCGTGTCTTTTTTTACTTACCGAAAGGAGTCACCCTATGGCGCCCTATGGCGCCCTTTTTTCTGACCTGGGCTCCTGGGCCCCCATGTGGGGGCTAGGAGCTGCGCTGCGAGCTGGCCAAGTCGCAGCGCCGCTGCGAAGTGCTCAGCGCCAAGGCGCTGCAACGTTTTGTTGTTTTGGTTGGGGAAGGGGGGGGGGGGGTTGGGCGTTGGGGGTGGGGGGTGGGCGGCTTGTTTTTAAAGTTTAAGGAGAAGGTGGCTTCTTGGAGACGTCGCTGCACCGAGCTTCGCTTGCGGCGGCGGAAGGGGGTGGGGGGTGGGGTTGGGCGGTTTTAGCGGTTCATTTTTGGTTTTGGCAGGGGGGGAGGGTGGTTTTTGAGAGTTTAAGGAGAAGGTGGAGAAGTAAAGGAAACTCACATGCCAAAAGCGAATCGACCTTTTGAGCTTGGAGTGTCGCTGGTTTGTTCCATGTTTAGTCATGGCCCCAAAAGGTTAATCTTTTGTTTCTGGGTCCTTTGGGCAACTGAGGAAAGGACGAAGGGATTGCGTTTTAAGTCCAAAAGAAGACACAAAGGTTTCTCTATGTAATACCGGTGCAAACATGACCAGCATTGGGCTCTGTTTTGCATATGCGACCTTAAAGAAGCCTTGGCGAGTGCCCGCTGATTTTATTTTGGTCTTTGGGGATACTTGCGGGCGTGTCTTTGGCAAGGCTGTTGCGGTTTCTGGGAGGCCCTCGAAAATGTTGTTCGGACCGCAGGTCTTGGCTGTCTCTTCGGCGCAGTTCAATCCTTTGTTTTAAATCAAGGCTAGCCATCTCCAGTCCCCTAAGAAAAGCTGAGCCAGAGTAGCCAAGTCTGATTCATGGCCGGCTGCCGGTTGCTGGCGTCCAAGAGACCCGGCGCCATGGCCAGGGCTCAGGTTGCCGAAGGGCAAAAACACGCACGCTCGTGCGGGTTGGTTGGAGGTGTCCCTGCGCTTTTGTCTCAAGACGTGGGTGGCCCGGCAACTTGGAAAGATAAAATTCATAGGGTTGCCGCCGCGCCAAATGATCAAGTCACAGAAAAAGGCAATAGACCATGTGGTTTTTGGTTTCGTTGGGTTTGTCTTGAAACCATTTCTACCTGGACTCTAAGGGTTGGCTCCCCATTCTTTTCAACCATCGTTCTTTTCAAGAACCAGCAGTGTTCCCTGGGTTTGCGGAGGTTTTCTAGAAAGAAGGATCCCTGGAAGGAATGGGGAAGGTAGCACTAGATTAACAGGTCTTCGGGTTGCCTGCCCATGTTTGCCACCCGCGCTCCTCATGGAGTGTTCGAAAACCCGGAGGCGGAGCGGTGCTTCGAGTCAGAGGCCTGTGCCAAGCAGGAGGAGCTGCAAGCAGATCTCGTAGCCGCCCGGGCGGAGGCGGGGTGGAGATGGGTGATGGGTAGTCGCGAAGCAAACAATCGGGGGGAGGGTGGGGTGTGTGTGTGTGTGTGTTTTTTGAGTTTGTGACTTTTGTGTGTGTGTGTGGGCATGGCTTAAGCACCGCTCTGCGGATTTTGGCATTTGTTTTGGGGATGTGTTTCAATGGCTTCCGCGACCCTTTCCTAAGAACTGCACGCTATCGCACGCCTTGCTTCTCCCAAACCTTGATCCAGCTCTGAACATCCAGATGTGTTGAAACCACTCCAACAGCCCGTTGCCTCTTTTGGCTTCCGATCTTCAGCTGGCCAGCGGTAGTTTGTTCGGCTGGCTCGCAAAGCTGCGCAAAGCTGCGCGTTGTCTGCCTGGTTGTTGCGGAACCGGGGGGGGGGGAGTTGGGACCCAAGCCATTTTTTCGGAATTCCTTGGGATTCGCATGGGTTCATCCGATTCTTTGATTGTTAGTTTGGTTGTTTTGCCGGAGCTCTGCTAGGTCCCCCAGTAGTGCCCTTCTCCCCCCTTTTTGGGGGGAGGGTTCCCCTACTAAAGTCGACTACAGAAAGAAGAAGCGCCCCTGGGCTCGCGAGCCAGCCCCAGCAATTCGAGCAGGTTGCTGCGGAAAAAAAAAGAGACCGATCCATGTTGCAACCAGTTGAAACCACAAAAGAAAGGGGAACATGTATCTTTTAAGGGTAAACATGTTGCTTTTTCACCACACAAATAAGGGGAACATGGAGATCTCTTAAGGTACACATGTGGCCTTTTCCACAAAAAAAAGGGGACACCCAGCATTGACAAGGCAGGAAATGCATGCTCAGGTTTTTATTTTCACTGCATACGGATCCGGAGAGAGCCTCTGAAGTAAGAGTCCTTCAGCTTTCCAATTCCAACTGAACAAGGCCACCTTTGATATCTCTTGGACCTTGGGTGACTTGGTTCCAAAAGGAGAAGACAGTGGACAAAAAAAAGAGACACCTTTTTGGTAGAAACCTTGGGTGGAAACCTTGGTAGAAACCTTGGGTAGAAACCTTGGGTAGAAACCTGTAGAAACCTTGTGTAGAAAAATCCACTCTTGGGTAGAAACCTTGGTTTGCCATGCACCTTGATCTTCCGTTGCTTTGTTGGCCTGCTGAAAGGAGGCATGTGTTGGACCATTGAGGTTTTTGGGGAACCCTTTGGGCTGCGTCGCCGAGGCGACGGCTCAAGAGCTGCAGACGGCTGTTGCGAGCCTCAAGGCGGATTTCCGCCAACAGCAGGCGGAGGCCGCGGTGGGTGTTCGACGGTCCTGGGTCCCGATTTGTGCCATGGTCAAAAGACGGGTGAACAGCGATGTTGTTCGATCTGGTAGTAAGGGTCGTTACCATGGCCATAGGCGATAAGAGAATATGTTTGACCTTTGCTAACCCTTAGCAAGTTTGGCGTAGTTTTGAGTTTAGGGGTGGTGTTGCACTTACGCTCTGCGAGAACCGCGCAAATCCGTGGAGTCTGACCCGAGGGATGTTACGCTCTTCTTCTTTTTTTTGGTCAAGGTGTCAAAAGTTTAGACTTTTTGTGACCAGGCTCTTGGTGAGCCAAAGGGGGAACTGAAACGCGTGCCACATGTGCGCAGTTTTGCCCCAATGCAGAATGTTTATGCCGGGAAGCTGCCTCCAGCAGTCAAACCCTTGGCCGTTCTCCATCCGCCAAATGTATTGGTCTCATATCGCACGGAGGGGGTGAAGCTGGTTTCCTGCTCCGGGGTGAGGGTCATGCATGGAAATAGTCCATTTTGCTGAAGGGACAAATGTTGGAGAGAGATGGGGCTGGCCCAAAGCTGCCCTATGCGAGCGCTTCCTAAATCCTCTCTTGGTGGGTTGATGCTTACAGGGGAAGCATTTCACCGCCCAAAGTCGACCTTTTGACCTTTGCATCTCGCTTTTTGCTCATTTGTCATGAGTCCAAAGAGTCAAAGAGCCAACCTTTCACTCCCAGGCCCCATTGCGCAAGTGACAGAAAGTAGTGACCCTCGAAAAAGCATGCTTGGCCAACAGCGCGCCTTTGAGACCTGGAGGGGTGACAGGGAACATCGGTATAAGGAGCTGGGCGTGTCATTTTTGAAGGCACCCCTTGTTTTTCCGGCTTTGCCGGCAAAACCACAATATTGGTATGGGTCAAAATAAAACCACCAGGAATCGGACCGCAGGTTTTGGTCTTTGGTTCCATTTACCAGGGCAACCCATTTTCGTTTCGCATTTTTGACCCACGGCCATATTCTGAGGTCGCGAACAGACAGACCCAGATCACTTCTCGCGCGCCCGGCCAAACGCCCAACCGCCCGGGGCCCCGCCGCCGTTGAGGCGTTGGCTTCGGCGCGAGACCTGCGCTCAGAGCTGGCGAGGCAGCAGCAGGAGCTGGCAGAGGCCATGGATCCGAAGTTTTAGAGTCGCAGTATCCCCACCCCCTCAAGAATGGAATTGGGGGAGGGGGGTGACCCCTAAAATTCAACAAATGTGGTTCCATTTTCCCTTTTGTGGGGAAGACTAAATAAATGGAATTGTTTAAGGTGATGCAGGGGTGCAGCTGGTTGCAGCAACATGGGTGGCTCGTCGTTTTTTAGGGGTCAACCCCCCCCCAAAAAAAAAGGAGGTGTTCCTTTTGGCTCTTGAAAGCCACAAACAAGGGCATCCGCAACTAAAGGACAGACCATCATGAAACGAATCAAACATCGAAGCGGCGCGCTTGCCCAAGGGCAAGCGACAAGGGCAAGCGACTGGCTTCGTTGTTACCTGGCGGCGGTTCTGTTTTGTTTGTCCTGAGGTTTTGAAAGGAACAGTTAGTCAGTATAATATATATATATATATAATGAGCAATCAGTCAAAGTGTTTTATTGTTTGGCCTGACTTCGTTTGGTATTTGGAACACCTGTTTCTTTTTTTCTGGGGACAGCAGAGGAGTATGTCCAAATACCTGCTCCGAGCGCCTGCCAGGAACGCCTGGCTGCAGCCTCCTTGCGCCAGGAGCTTCACAGAGCTCCTCGCCTGCAGAGCCGTCCCTTCAGCTAGGGGAAATCAACCGAAACTCACTTTCCGAGTTCTGGGGTCGTCATTTCAAGCCGGGGCTGTAAAAAAAAACTGGAAACACAACAACAACCTGTCCATTTGGGTGTGTCTCAGGCATGGATGACCCCAAACTTGGTTGTGTTCTTTTTGGCTTACCCTCAACCCCCCAAAAACATACCCATTTTCAGCGGAGGTTTCCAGCCATGAAAAGCGCTGACATGCCAAGGGTTAGCAAGGAAGCTGCGTGCTGTGCCGCCACTTCAATACACGAGACTCGTGGGTCAACCCCGTGGAAGTTTTCTTGTTTCTGCAGGTGTCCCATGAGCCGGGCAACGAGTTTTCAGCCAAGGTCTTCGAGGTGAAGGTGGGAGTTGGAGTTGTCGGCGTGTCTCATTTTTTGAAGGGCTCTGGCTGCTGTGGATCCGGCGGAGTGCCCCAAAAAAAGTATTTCGGAAAGGAACGGAGCGTCCTGAATGAAGCCCTTTGGCGAGTTGTCATTTTGGTTTCTTTTTTGAATTCCAACCAAAAGGGGATTCCAAAAAAAGATGTGCCCGTGTTGCATTTGCAGCAGCAAAGCTGTGTACGGGTCTGCGTGGTTTGCTCGTCGCGGGCGGAAGACCAACTCAGTCGGGATGTTTTGTGGGCCGGAACAACGGTGGCAGTGATTTTCAGCTTGCAACACCTTGAAGAAGCAACCGAGATTGTGGGGGTATCCGAAAATAGGTCAAAAGGTTACACCACTTTTGAATGGTGCTTAATGGGAAACGGGGGCGCGAAGTCCTCACTTTTGCCTCGCTTCGGCCCTGACTTGCAACATGTGCATCTTCTCGATTGTCAGGCTTCTCAAACTTTGATCTTTGCGTTTCGTTTTTCATGCTGATTGGGAAGCAGTTGGAATTTGCTTTAGCAATGCCGTCCGTTGGTTTGGGCAACCCCAACTCGAAGGCTCAGGATAGCATGGGGCTTACCATTCACCGCTTCGGGTAGTCCAACCCTCGTCCTCTTGGTTCTAGGGGTTGATTCCTCTTTTATTTTCAACAATCGTTCTGCTCAGTAACCAGCCGTTTTCCCTGGGTTTCCGGAGGTTTTCTAGAAAGAAGGATCCCTGTAAAGAACGGGGAAGGTACCCTTAGATTCCTCCATTCCCCCTTCGGAACTTCCGAGGCGGTTTCGGTTTGGACAACCACTAGTTTTTCTTACACCGTTTTAGGGGATATCCAGTGTCCCACCCGTTTTTTCCAGGTTTGGGGCTGGTTTTTTCAGGGCTCCCAGCGCCCTCTCGGCGTCAGGGGGCCCAATGGGCTGAGCAGATCGCTGAGCAGGCGGAGATTTGGTCACACAATTTTCTAGAAGCAATCACCGGCTTCCTCCGAGAACTTGCAGTGTGTGTGTGTGTGTGTGTGTGGGTGTGCGTGTGCGTGTGCGTGCGCGTGCGCGTGCGCGTGCACGTGCGCGTGCGCGCGCGCGCGCGCGCGGGCGTGCGTTCGTGCGTGCGTGCGTGCGTGCGTGCGTGCGTGCGTGCGTGCGTGCGTGCGTGCGTGCGTGCGTGCGTGCGTGCGTGCGTGTGTGTGTGTGTGTGTGTGTGGGTGGGTGTGGGTGCGTGTGGGTGCGTGTGGGTGCGTGTGGGTGCGTGCGTGTGCGCGTGTGCGCGTGTGCGCGTGTGCGCGTGTGCGCGGGTGCGCGTGTGCGCGTGCGCGCGTGCGCGCGTGCGCGCGTGCGCGCGCGCTGTGTGTGTGTGTGTGTGTGTGTGTGTGTGTGTGTGTGTGTGTGTGTGTGTGTTTGTTTTGGAGGGGGGCTTTTGATGACTTGGTCCAAGCCAGGTGCCCCTTGATCCTTGCCGGTGTGTTTAGGGTGTTTTTGGGCCAAAACACGAGTTTAGGGTGGGCGTTGGATTTATTGGGGTTTGTTGGCGGGGGGGGCGCAGCCCCCCCCCATCGACAGAAGCATCGGAGGTAAGAAGCCACCAACCAAGAATCCAAAAAGCCTAAAGGCGGTGATGCTGGGGTGTTACTGGTGGTGCCGGGGATGCGGAAAGCCAAAGCCACAAAGGCTACAAAAAGCAAAGCCCAAAAGCCAAAAGCCAAAAAGCCAAAAAGCAAAAAAGCAAAAAAGCAAAAAAAGCCAAAAGCCAAAAGCCCAGACTCCAAGAAGACAAAGGCCAAAAGTCAAGAAGCTAAGGAGCCAGATAAGGCAAAATCCAGGAAGCAATCCTAAAGAAAAAACGGCCAAAAAATCCAAAAAAATAGCCCTCCATGTGTTTCGCAAAGATGTGCGAGCAGTGGGGGCTGTTGGCGCGAATCCGTCGCTTCTGCATGCGGCGTGCCTTTTAGAGTTCCTTGTGGTTGGGGGGGGGGATTGGCGTTGGCATGTATTGACTGTGGACACATCCTTTGAAGGGCAAGTCTTTTGATATGAAAGGGAACCCCCAAGCGTTGATAACATAGTCATGGGGATGAGAACCCCGCTTCGGCAACACAGGGTCCCAGTTTTCCACAATCGTGGTGTGACCTTGAATCTGAAACCACGCTGTGTGCTAAGTATTTGCTTGACAATTGATTTCGCCCAGTACTACAGCACAACCCCGTTCTGGCTAGTTCGCCCTTCTTCATGGCTCCCTGGTAGAGCAGGGCATTTTGCCCATTTGAAAGATGGTTTTTTCCATTAAAAAAAAAGGGAAACCACCATTGACAAGGCAATGTTCAGGTGTATTCACTGTAAGGATCCCTGTAGAGCGCCAAAGGGGGCGAGCTCCCGGGAGCGAACCTTGCCAGGCGCAGCGGGAACTCGCTTTTGTGCGAGGCGAGGGAGGGAGCCTTAGTGGGCAGCGGGCAGCGGGATGGCTTCCCCGCTTCTGTACTCTACCCGGCAGATAGATGGCTCAAACAAAAAACGGTTTGTGCCATCTACTGTGGCTCAAGGGTTTTACACTGTATATGGGGGGTTTGTGTTTGGGAAGCCCTTTCTGTTGTATCCTGTTCAAAGTCCATTCTGCTTTACGGTGGATGGACGAAATCCAATTCGCACCACCTAAGAAACCGTTTCTCAGAATTTCAAAGTGGTGCAGGATTTCGTCCATCCACAGTATGGCAGCTTGTCCTGCAACAAGAGGGCGAAGACTCCGACTTGTACAAGAGCAATGGGCGTGGTGTCCCGAAGAAAGTAGTCTTCAAACAACCATCCTGTCAGCTTTGCTGGAGTCAATGATTAGATTTTGGGATCCAGTCCTCTTGAACTACACAGTGACAATCGTCTGCCAGCCCAAGCGAATCAATTGTTCAAACTTTAGACCCTCTTCTAGGTCCATCTTCAGTCGTGACCCCGAAAGGGCAATGGGCCAAGTGCTCATTCCAAGGTCCCTTGCACTTTGCACAAGCGAGTCCACCATATCTCCCACTTGCCCATCGCAAACCGACCTGTGTCAAAGAGTCATATTCATCCAGCCATGGTTGTTGCCGGGAAACATTTTGCTAGAATGTAAATGGTTGCTCCCCTTCCAACGTCGACCAAGCAGCCATTCAGGGGCAAAGGTTTAAAAAGCGCACAGTCTCAGGTTCAGATGCCCAAAATCCGGCGCCGAGTGTCCTACGTCGGGTTCTTTGGACGTCAAGCCAGCCCCAGGAGCAGGGCAGAAGACCCGCGGGCACATCATCAATACATACATGCATGCATATATATATATATATACACATAGAGATACGGGTGTCCTTTTTTTTGGCGGCGGGGATGCCCTTTTTGGTGGTTTCAAACACTCACACCCATATGTATGTATGTAGATATGGGTTCTGAGGAGATTACTTCCTTCTAGTAGGGAGCAAGTTTGCAAACGACATGGCGGCGCGACGCAAGGCCAATCGCAGTTGACACAGGACTTTTGGCTGCTGCCTCCCATGAAGACCGGGAAAAACAACATGAATCTAGGGGTACCTTCCCCATTCTTTCCAAGCATCCTTCTTTTCAGGAACCCATCAAAAGCCCAGGGGAACAGATCCGTTTTTTGCAAAGAACGATGGTTGCAAAGAATGGAAGAGGAATCAAGCCCTAGAATGAAGCCGGCACGACAGGCCCTGATGTACCAAAAGGCAAGCTTTCTGGTGGGGACCGATGGCTGGCGTCGGGTTTGAACTTCGCCCGATCGTTGGTGTTGTTCAGCGGCTGGAAGTAGGGGTGCAATAAAGCTGGAACCTATGACCTGCCCCCCCTACAGATCATGGAACTCAGCTCCTCTTGGGTAAGATGGTTGAACGCGGCAAGTGTTCAGTGGCTAAACCGCACCCTGGAACCAGGCCATTGCTAGGCCCGCCCACGGGTCCCTCAGCCGCCATCTGGATTGGGGTTCAAGTGAAATTAGGGACCCCATTCTCCAGACGGGCGCTTGGCAAGGGCTCTGCGAAATCGCAGTTGCGAAAGAAACGCCGCTGCCTTTTGGCCACGAAGGATTCAGAGTCAACAAAGACTCGTCTTTCATATTGTTGGGTGTCACAGACGTGTCTTGGGCCACCCAAACGAATACCAGGCGGGCGTTTCTTAGCCGATGAACTTCACGAGACATCCAAAGAGAAAGGTGGCTAACTGGCGTGGTTGGCTTCTTTTTTGTGAGGGCTAACTGCCAAATGAGCACAACATGGGTTCGAATGGGCTCACATACGGACTACGGAGAACCAAGGAAAGAACCACGCACTAAACTAAGCAAGGTCCGTGAACCACATTCTATTGAAAGAGCTTTCTAGGATCTTTCTGGTTATGTGTATCTACAAGCAAATAGATATTTGTGTGGCATTTTCCACAGCTGTTATAATTAGGTTAAAGATCTAGACGCATTCTTGGCTGGATCCTAGAGGCCTCAAGAGCAACCAGAGCGAGAATCAGCGAGAAAACCAGCGTGAAAGACAACTGTATCCCACAAAACGCGGCACTTGTGATGAGTGGTTCATCAGCGTCGTTTTTTTTTTGGACCCCCCCCCCCCCAAACCAAATCATGTTTTCCCGTTGGTTCCGCTTAAGGTTCGGGAAAAAGAAGGATACCCCTAGATAAAAACACCCCCCCCCCCCAACTAGGGCATGGACGGATCCATCCCAAGGTCGGCGGCCCGAGAGAGGCGGCATGGAGGCAGACGGTTGAACGATTTGCACCCAAAGGTGCTGGGCGTGTTGTTTTCCCCCATTTTGTGTGACCTCCTCTTTGGCAGCCAGATTTGAAAATAGAGTCACCTTGTAAGAAAGGCTTTTGAAACGACTCGCCTTTTGGTGGTTGCTGCTTATAGTTGTCTAGCTTGGAACTATGGGGAGCCTGAATTGTCCAGCACAAAACGCCCCCCCGCCTTCCCCCAAAAAGAGAATAGTGGGAAAAGAGAATAGTGGGTAGGGTACTTTATATCGCTTTTGAATCCTTTCAGACCTAGTTAATTGTTGACGCAACTCCACACATTTCGCATTTGTGCCACGCCTGGGAAAACTCTTTGGAAGGAAAGCTATAATCAAGAAGACAAAGCGAATAATAGGATTGTTTGCAATATACGATGATAGGATCTCAGATTTAGAACTATTGTCCAAAAGTCAAGATATGTGAGACATTATACTCAGGATATGTATATATATATATATATATGTACAATCCAATATAACATATCCTTTACTTGAAGGTGAGAAGTCATAAAACAAGTTGATAATGGTGGACATCCCATCACCAAACGACAATTCGTTGCAGGCCAGGCTGTGTGATGGTGGCCCACACCGGATGGGCCGATTCACCGCGGGGCTGCCAACTGGGTGCCGCCTTCGGCTGTTCAAAGAGAAGCCAACTACAAGACGCTTCGCACCTTAGGCATTTGGCTTTTGTCTCCAACTAGGGGGCAAGTGATGACGATGTAGCCGTGAATGTCCCATTCCACATTTCCAGAACGGATTCACATCGTAAGGCACCACTGCCCCATACATTTCCATCAGAGTCGGCGTAAGGCAACAATTTTCGTGCCCCCAGGCGGGGCATTGCAACATGGGAGCCTAGCTGTAGGTTGTATATGATGGTGCGCTTACCTTCTGTAGTGGTGCTCGGAAGCAATCGGAATGTTCTTGCGCTGGGGCGGGGGGGGGGGGCTTTTTCTGCTAGCCAGTGAAAGGGTGACATTGCCGGTCAGCCTGCTCAGAGGGTACTTTGCGCGACCCCTGTCAGAACGCTTTGCCTTCATTGCCCTGGCAAAATGCATGGGGTCCGAACCGTGGCAGGCCCAGCTCGGGGAGTTCGAAAGCGTGGGGCGCTCATTGAATGTGATATTCATGGAGGGTCCCCTGGTGCAGAGCCCTATATGGAGATGTTTTGTTAGGGGCCCCCAAACCAAAAAGCAGGAAGCTATGGTGTTTGTTTCTCTTACCCCCCCTGTCCGCTACCATGGCACCTGACAGGGGGCCCCTCAAGAGGAAATCCATCTTCCAGGTACCATCCGACAAGTGCCATGTTAATCTCCTCCCCCTATTAATGAATGCCCCCCATTAATAATAAATGCAAATCCGGGGCCCGAGGCCAGATTTCCACTCCGCACAATTGATTTTCCATTGCGCCAATACTAAACCAATACTAAAGTCTTGGAATCCTTATTAGGGGGCACTTTTAGCAAGCTTCCAGCCTCACTTTTCAAAAGGTGGGTTCCTTTAGTTATTGGGGTGTCCCTCAAAAGAAAACATGTCCCCAAAAGCTGTCTAGCTGCGACTGTCTCTCTCCCGTACATGCTGGCTAATTAACCTGCCTGGCTGCAAACAAACAACCAGTAAACTAGTAAACAAATAGAATGATACATCAAATGTCCTTATTAAACCGCTTCCTCGCGGACCTTACAATTCAATCCATTTCCTCCAAATCCTATGTGAACCCTCACATTGTTGGAACAGCAAAAAAACCCAACCCCAAAAACCCCAATTAATATATATATATATATATATATTTGGGTGGATTTATTTATAATAGGGGGGGGCGTATTTATTAATAGGGGGAGCGGATTAGTGGGAGGGAGGGTAGTTTCCCTTTAAGCACCACAAGAAAGCCGTGTTTTCAAAACAGAGAGAGGCTCCCAAATGTGGCCCAAGCCTGATGCTTGCCAAGCCAGGATCAGCAGGTCTCATGGTCTTATGACATTCTGGCGGCGTCAGTCTCGCTCGGCTTGCGGATTGCATGATTGTTGGGAAACATTGGACACATGTTTGCTTATTGTGGTTTACTGGTTGAAATCCAACCACTCAACTGCTTCTTTTTTTTTTGCTCCCCTTCCAGCGTCAACCTACCATTGGCAGAGGGAGGCTTGCACCCTGCGGCTGGTCCCTCGCCTTTGCCCGGGGACATCGAGGCGCGGGCCGGCCCGGTGCCAGCCTGCTGCTCGGAACTGGCGGTGGATCCTATCAATTTGGCGTGTCGTTCTGCTACGTCGATGTTTGCAAAGAGCATGGTTTTTTTTGGGGGGCGAGGAGGGATCCCCAAAGCTACCTGAAACCAACCACATCCTGCATGAGCGTGTAGTTTTGTTTTGTCAGCACTTTGGTGCATTTTGCCAAGGGATGTTCGGAATTTGACTTTTTGCATCTTTTTGCCAACCAGTGGGTGTTCCGTATTAAACCACTAAAAGTTAAACTTTTAGCAGGGCTTCGCAGAAAGCAACCGAGCTAAAAGCGTGTGCCTTCAAAAGCAACGTTCGGAAAAGAGGTTTCCTTTGGACGGGACTTCGGAATTTCCCTTTGGGGGGTGTAAGACATCACCTGATGTAAAGTGCGCTTTCTTCTGTTTGCCCCAGCGCTCCTTGCTAAGGAGGAATACGTACCTTCGTCAGGGCAGTTTGAGAGTCCAGCCATTTGACCACCCCATTAGTTTGCTTAGAACGGGGCTCCTTAAAAGATACATTTTGCCCATTTGAAACATGGCTTTTTCCACCAAAATCCAGGAAACCACCATTTACAAGGCAATGTTCAGGTGTATAGCGTAAGGATCCCTGTTAGAAGGGCACCCGCCCAGCAGCTTGGCAACTTGCCGTAGAATCCAAGTTCTGCATCTCTGGCTGAAATGATCCGTCATCTCGAGAGCTAGCTGTGCCGGGAGTTCCCAAATGGATCTTCTTTCAGGGGCTGCGCTGCAAACATGCCGGATTTTTTTAAAAAAAATTGGGGCGGGGTAAAGGGGGGGAGGGAGGGGCTGAAAAAATGTTGAATGGCATGAGAGATCTTTATCCGGTGGATCCCCCCGGTTCGATTCCTCCGCTGGCCCACCGCGCAGCATGAGCAGCATTTTCTCACGGAATTGGTTACTGACTGTTGGGATGTTCGTAGGTTGCTACTCTTATTGTCTTGGCTGGGTACATGTCGTTGGGCTGGCTAACTTTCTTTCACCCTCCCAAGTTGCACCAAGTCGGCCCAGAAACGCATGAGGCACGTCCGGACAACCCGCATGCCTGGCACGGGGACGGGTCTGTGCGCAGCGGCGCGGCGTGCTTAGCGCTGCCCAGCGAAAGCCGAGGAAAGGTTGGGATGCTTTTCGGGTCATGATTTTGACTCTCTTTTTGGGTTACGACAGTCCGCAAAGTTTAGGGTGTTTCCCTTTAAACCTACCACCTTGGGGGCTGACTTTGATAATGATGAAATCATGGTGCCAGGACTTGTCAGCCTGGAGCTGCGCGCACGCGAGCATAGCACGGCCTTTGAGCATGTCAAGTGTGATCCCGGCTTGGCGATCGCGAGGCATGCCTCACGTCTCCGGATCGAGTCGTCGAGGTGCTTGGGTCGGCCGTGGCGTGTGCTTCTTCGCCAGCTTGACCCTCAGACCGGGGCAAGATAGGAAACATAGGTGTCCTTTTTGGTTGTTTTGGTCACCCAATAGATGGGTTTCGATTCCTGGTTTACCTGGTGGTGCAAGATCATCTAGGGAAACCCATCGATTTGCCCCAAAAGGACATCTATGATAGGAAATGGATGTCTTGCTATCACCCCCCACGGATTCCAATGATGGGGCGGATTCGAAAGCTGGTCTTCTAGTATTTGGGTTTCCCTTTCAAAGCTTGGGAGACGTGCGTGCTGCGATGAGAGACTTCGATTCGTTGGAGGTTTCAGAACTCGGAGTTTTCCTTTTGGCCACAGGCTAAATTGGAATCTCTCACGTGCACCAAGTCTTGCCCAGCACGATTCGATTCGGACAGCTTGTGTCAAAATGTGTGTGATGCTTGAATGCTGCTCGCGTAAATATCGTGTAAATATTGAGCGGCAGAAAGTCTGCACTTAATCATCCATTTGCTTAAGAACTTGTTTTTTGTTTTCCTTGCTGGTTTTAAAGGGGATCCATCACTACTGGAAATATGTTTTATTTTTTCCAGGGGGCGAAAAACCAAATAAAAGTAACACACTGCCGAACGCAAGGCCCCAGCCGAGAACCTGCATGCCGGGCATGCTCAGCATGATGCCGGGCACCGTGGGTCTCTGTTCGGCGGCGCGGGGCGCTTAGAGCTGTGCATCTTTCATTTGCTTAAGAATATTTGTAATTTTACCCTATTAGTTTTAAAGGGAATCTATCACTATTGGACATTTTTTTGCCAGGGGCCTTAAGCAAATGGAAGGCACGTTCAAATTCAATTTAGCCGTGGTTGGAAGGTTTGGGCTACATGTGAGCTTGGCTTTGCGCGAGACATGCCTCACACGTGTAGATCGCTGAGGCACTTGGGTCGACCGTGATGCCGGGCGCACCATCACCGGCCTGGCACCCAGACAAGGAAACTGCGGTCACTATACAGTAGCCATGCTGCAGACGATGGTTTGAACAAAATTCAACGAATTCCACTGTAGACTGCCAAAATGTCTCAGGGTCTTTGTGGACTACGCCTACCGTCACGGACAGCTTTTTGTTGCGTAGTGATAAACGTGTACTTCTGCAAGCACTGTTTCGTATCAAGTCAGAACCGAATGTGTGGCAGAATGTGAACCCGGCCTGCAGACAACCTGCAGGCCGCGCATGCCCAACATGATGCCGGACACCTTGGGTCTTCGAGCGTGGGATTAAGAACTTAGTTCCCAGGCCCCCCCAATGGCCGGTAATTGGCGTCCCGGGTGAAGTGCCGGCAATTGACCAGCACTTGCTTAAAAATGGTTTTGTAGTCACATGGATTTTTTTGCCATCATCAAAGTGCAGTGAAAAGTCACTTTTGTTGAAACGTCACTTCCGGATGCTAGAGGGGATCCAATTGAGGGGTTGGGCTGGCATGTATGATCATTGCACGTGCAACGCGCGGGGGGGGAGGGGGGGCGACACGCTGGTGACACGCTCATATCCCAAAAAAGTGACCGTTCAACGTACATGTGCCGGCAATTGGCCACCCCCCGACACGCCGTGACACGCCGTGACACGCTCCTCAAGAACCCCTCCCAACCTCAAACTTGCCCTCCAAACCTCAAATTTGCTGCTCTCCCCTTTCCCCTGCAACCCCATTCCAAAGGACCCTGAAAGGTCACTTGTATCATTGCACAAATTGCACTAAGTACAGATGAGTGATAATTGATAGCAAAATGTTTTTGCAGTCACTTAGACATAAAGTGACATCGTTTTGCCCAAAATCGATGTGCCGGCAATTGGCCAGCCATTGGGGGGTGCTGGTCTGAATGTTCTGATTCGCGTTCTCAACATTGGTGTCGGTGGAAAGGTTTCGCATAATGGCCTCCCTTATGTGAACTGGAGCTTTTCCTCCAGTATCTAAAAAAATGCAAAATATTGAATCTTTGGGTGCTTTGCAAGGTCATAAGTGGCCTGGTATGGCACAGTGGGCTTACGACTGGCAACGCCCAGCATGACGGGTCGCTTGTGAAATTTATGCGAAAAAGTCCTTCTGCAAGAAATGAGTTGCAGAAGGTCTGCCCCTTGATGCCTTGAGAGCGAGGCCCGGCCGGTAGCAGAGGGTCTGCATGCCCGGCCTGATGCCGGACACCCCGGGTCTCCGGGTGGCGTGGGGTGCTTAGCGCTGTTGACATGGAAGTTCAGCTTATGCAGCTGTCGGAGGCCGGTTTTGGATATCGGTCTCCACAACTGCAGGTGAGCACCGGGCCTGTGTGATCTGACGACGTTACTTGTGATCATGGCTTTGCGCGAGACATGCCTCACGCGTGCAGACCGCTAAGTCGCTGAGGCACTTGGGCGGGCCTTGATGCCGGGTGCTACATCACCGGCTTGACACCCAGATACGATCAGGCAAGGAAACTACGTTCGCTACTCAATAGGCATGCCGCAGACGATGCTTCGGAGAGCGATCCATTGGAGACTCCAAAAACATATCATCATATCGGGTCTGAAGGTGTCGGATGTTTGGATTGCTCGAATGCTTTGGGAGGTCTTTTGGCTCCGGTCTGTGTGAGCTACATCTTTAGGTTGTCACAGACGGAACGAACGAGTGTGTAGTGATCAACTTGTACTTCTGCAAGCACTGAACGGTATCAAGTTGGCAAGTTGGCATTGAATGAACGCCAGAATGTGAGGACCGGCCAGCTGCAGACAACCTGCAGGCTGGGAATGCCCCACGTGATGAAGGACATCTTGGGTCTCTGGTTATTGGGTTCTTAGGTCTGCTGATTGCTGGCAACTTGAGTGGGCGAAAGGTTTGGGATGATAGTCTGCCCCATGTGAACTGGAGCTTTTCCTCCCATATTTGAGGGGTTGCGAGGTACTGAATCCGAGGGTCTTTGGGAGCCTTTGAAAGGTCGTAAGCGGCCTTTGGGCATGAAGTGGAGTTACAGCTCGCGATGCCCAGCATGATGGGCAGCTTCTGAAAATTGTGCGTGATCCCTTCTGCCACCATCGAGTTGCAGAAGGTCTGCACTTGATGCACTGTCCGCGAGGCTCGGCCGGCAGCAGAGAATCTGCATGCCGGGCTTGACGGGCATGCCCTGCCTGATGCCGGACACCCCGGGTCTCCGGGTGGCGCGGGGTGCTTAGCTCTGTTGACATGGAAGTTCAGCTTATGCAGCTGTGGGAGGCAGGTTTGGGATTTCGGTCTCCACAAGTGCACGTGAGCACCGGGCCTGTGTGATCTGACGACGTTACTTGTGATCATGGCTTGGCGCGAGACATGCCTCACGCGTGCAGACCGTGAAGTCGCTGAGGCACTTGGGCGGGCCTTGATGCCGGGTGCTACATCACCGGCTTGACACCCAGATACGATCAGGCAAGGAAACTGCGTTCGCTACTCAATAGCCATGCCGCAGACGATGCTTTGGAGAGCGTTCCATTGGAGACTCCAAAAACATATCGGGGATTCTGAAGGTGTCGGATGTTTGGATTGCTCGAATGCTTTGGGAGGTCTTTTGGCTCCGGTCTGTGTGAGCTACATCTTGAGGTTGTCACAGACGGAACGAACGAGTGTGTAGTGATCAACTTGCACTTCTGCAAGCACTGAACGGTATCAAGTTGGCAAGTTGGCATTGAATGAACGCCAGAATGTGAGGCCCGGCCAGCTGCAGACAACCTGCAGGCTGGGAATGCCCCACGTGATGCTGGACATCTTGGGTCTCTGTTTATTGGGTTCTTAGTTCTGCTGATTGCTGGCAACTTGAGTGGGAGAATGGTTTGGGATGATAGCCTGCCCCATGTGAACTGGAGCTTTTCCTCCCATATTTGAGGGGTTGCGAGGTACTGAATCCGAGGGTCTTTGGGAGCCTTTGAAGAGCTTTGAAAGGTCGTAAGCGGTCTTTGGGCATGAAGTGGAGTTGCAACTGTACTTGTGCAACTGTCGAGTTGCAGATTGGCTGCACTTGATCACGAGGCCCGGCTGGCAGCAGAGAATCTGCATGCCGGGCTTGCCGGGCATGCCCGCCCTGATGCCGGACACCCCGGGTCTCCGGGTGGCGTGGGGTGCTTAGCGCTGTTGACATGGAAGTTCAGCTTATGCAGCTGTGGGAGGCAGGCTTTGGATATCGGTCTCCACATGTGCACGTGAGCACGAACCCTGTGTGACCTGACAACAGTTCCATGTGATCATGGCTTTGTGCTAGACATGCCTCACACGTGCAGACCGCTAAGTCGCCGAGGCACTTGGGTCGTCCGTGATGCCGGGTGCTACATCACCAGCTTGGCACCCAGACAAGATCAGGCAAGGACACGGCCTTTTTGTGATCTGAACGTGTCAAATGTGGTCTTGACTTTCCCTGAGTCATGCTTTCCGCGTGCAGAGCGAGTCGCTGAGGCACGTGGGTCCGTTATGGCGGGCGCTTCGTCATTAAACTTTGCCTGACACCCGGACAAGGAAGGTGCGATCACTTTCTTACGTGTTGAAAGGCGTTTCACTGGACTCCGCGACTTCATTTTGAAGTGTTTTGCTCTTTGGAGTTTTTGAATGCTTTAAGAGGCCTCAGGGTCTTTCTGGACTACGTTTACCGTCGCAGGCGTCATGTTTTTTTTTTTTTTGCATGCTTAGTTTGAGCTAGAACGTGAGGCCCGGCCAGCTGCAGACAACCTGCAGGCCGGGCATGCCCAACGTGATGCTGGACATCTTGGTTCTTTGGGCGTGGGATTCTTAGTTCTGATTGCCACTGGCAACACTGGTGTTGGTGGACAGGCTTGGGATGATAGCCTGCCCCACGTGAACTGGAGCTTCTTCTCCAATATTAAGGGGCTGCGTTGGGTACGTGAATCCGAAGGTTTCTTGGAGCCTGTTTAACGGTGGCAAGCGACTTGGTGGCAAAGTGGGATTACAACTGGCAATGCCCAGCATCATGGGTAGCCTGTGTCAAAACATGTGCGTGACCCCCTCTTTAGTCGCAGAAGGTTTGCACTCGATGCATTGACCACGAGGCCCGGCCGGCAGTAGACACTTTGTATGCCGGGCTTGACGGGCATGCCCGACCTGATGCCGGACACCCCGGGTCTCCGGGTGGCGTGGGGTGCTTAGCTCTGTTGACATGGAAGTTCAGCTTATGCAGCTTTGGGAGGCAGGTTTGGGATTTCGGTCTCCACAAGTGCACGTGAGCACCGGGCCTGTGTGATCTGACAACGGTACATGTGATCATGGCTTTGCGCGAGACATGCATCAGTGCAGACCGCTAAGTAGCTGAGGCACTTGGGTCGGCCGTGATGCCGGGTGCTACATCACCGGCTTGACACCCAGATAAGATTAGGCAAGGAAACTGCGTTCGCTACTCAATAGCCATGCCGCAAACGATGCTTTGGAGAGCGTTCCATTGGAGACTCCAAAAACATATCGGGGATTCTGAAGGTGTCGGATCTTTGGATTGCTCGAATGCTTTGGGAGGTCTTTTGGCTCCGGTCTGTGTGAGCTACATCTTTAGGTTGTCACAGACGGAACGAACGAGTGTGTAGTGATCAACTTGTACTTCTGCAAGCACTGAACGGTATCAAGTTGGCATTGAATGAACGCCAGAATGTGAGGCCCGGCCAGCTGCAGACAACCTGCAGGCTGGGAATGCCCCACGTGATGCTGGACATCTTGGGTCTCTGTTTATTGGGTTCTTAGTTCTGCTGATTGCTGGCAACTTGAGTGGGAGAAAGGTTTGGGATGATAGCCTGCCCCATGTGAACTGGAGCTTTTCCTCCCATATTTGAGGGGTTGCGAGGTACTGAATCCGAAGGTCTTTGGGAGCCATTGAAACGCTTTGAAAGGTCGTAAGCGGTCTTTGGGCATGAAGGGGAGTTGCAACTGTACTTGTGCAACTGTCGAGTTGCAGATTGGCTGCACTTGATCACGAGGCCCGGCTGGCAGCAGAGAATCTGCATGCCGGGCTTGCCGGGCATGCCCGGCCTGATGCCGGACACCCCGGGTCTGCGGGTGGTGTGGGGTGCTTAGCGCTGTTGACATGGAAGTTCAGCTTATGCAGCTGTGGGAGGCAGGTTTTGGATATCGGTCTCCACATATGCACGTGAGCACGGGGCCTGTGTGACCTGACAACAGTTCCATGTGATCATGGCTTTGTGCTAGACATGCCTCACACGTGCAGACCGCTAAGTCGCTGAGGCACTTGGGTCGTCCGTGATGCCGGGTGCTACATCACCAGCTTGACACCCAGACAAGATCAGGCAAGGACACGGCCTTTTTGTGATCTGAACGTGTCAAATGTGGTCTTGACTTTGCCTGAGTCATGCTTTCCGCGTGCAGAGCGAGTCGCTGAGGCACGTGGGTCCGTTATGGCGGGCGCTTCGTCATTAGACTTTGCCTGACACCCGGACAAGGAAGGTGCGATAACTTTCTTACGTGTTGAAAGGCGTTTCACTGGACTCCGCGACTTCATTTTGAAGTGTTTTGCTCTTTGGAGTTTTTGAATGCTTTAAGAGGCCTCAGGGTCTTTCTGGACTACGTTTACCGTCGCAGACGTCATGTTTTTTTTGCATGCTTAGTTTGAGCTCCGCAAGCACCACATCTCCCCAAGTCGGCATTGAATGAGTGGCAGAACGTGAGGCCCGGCCAGCTGCAGACAACCTGCAGGCCGGGCATGCCCAACGTGATGCTGGACATCTTGGTTCTTTGGGCGTGGGATTCTTAGTTCTGATTGCCACTGGCAACGCTGGTGTCGGTGGACAGGCTTGGGATGATAGCCTGCCCCACGTGAACTGGAGGTTCTTCTCCAATATTGAGGGGCTGCGTTGGGTACGTGAATCCGAAGGTTTCTTGGAGCCTGTTTAACGGTGGCAAGCGACTTGGTGGCAAAGTGGGATTACAACTGGCAATGCCCAGCATGATGGGTAGCCTGTGTCAAAACATGTGCGTGACCCCCGCTTTAGTCGCAGAAGGTTTGCACTTGATGCACTGACCACGAGGCCCGGCCGGCAGCAGAGAATCTGCATGCCGGGCTTGACGGGCATGCCCGACCTGATGCCGGACACCCCGGGTCTCCGGGTGGCGTGGGGTGCTTAGCTCTGTTGACATGGAAGTTCAGCTTATGCAGCTTTGGGAGGCAGGTTTGGGATTTCGGTCTCCACAACTGCACGTGAGCACCGGGCCTGTGTGATCTGACAACGGTACATGTGATCATGGCTTTGCGCGAGACATGCATCAGTGCAGACCGCTAAGTCGCTGAGGCACTTGGGTCGGCCGTGATGCCGGGTGCTACATCACCGGCTTGACACCCAGATAAGATCAGGCAAGGACACGGCCTTTTTGTGATCTGAACGTGTCAAATGTGGTCTTGACTTTGTCTGAGTCATGCTTTCCGCGTGCGGAGCGAGTCGCTGAGGCACGTGGGTCCGTTATGGCGGGCGCTTCGTCATTAGACTTTGCCTGACACCCGGACAAGGAAGGTGCGATCACTTTCTTACGTGTTGAAAGGCGTTTCACTGGACTCCGCGACTTCATTTTGAAGTGTTTTGCTCTTTGGAGTTTTTGAATGCTTTAAGAGGCCTCAGGGTCTTTCTGGACTACGTTTACCGTCGCAGACGTCATGTTTTTTTTTGCATGCTTAGTTTGAGCTCCGCAAGCACCACATCTCCCCAAGTCGGCATTGAATGAGTGGCAGAACGTGAGGCCCGGCCAGCTGCAGACAACCTGCAGGCCGGGCATGCCCAACGTGATGCTGGACATCTTGGTTCTTTGGGCGTGGGATTCTTAGTTCTGATTGCCACTGGCAACGCTGGTGTCGGTGGACAGGCTTGGGATGATAGCCTGCCCCACGTGAACTGGAGGTTCTTCTCCAATATTGAGGGGCTGCGTTGGGTACGTGAATCCGAAGGTTTCTTGGAGCCTGTTTAACGGTGGCAAGCGACCTGGTGGCAAAGTGGGATTACAACTGGCAATGCCCAGCATCATGGGTAGCCTGTGTCAAAACATGTGCGTGACCCCCTCTTTAGTCGCAGAAGGTCTGCGCTTGATGCACTCACCACGAGGCCCGGGTGGCAGCAGACACTTTGTATGCCGGGCTTGACGGGCATGCCCGACCTGATGCCGGACACCCCGGGTCTCCAGGTGGCGTGGGGTGCTTAGCTCTGTTGACATGGAAGTTCAGCTTATGCAGCTTTGGGAGGCAGGTTTGGGATTTCGGTCTCCACAAATGCACGTGATGCTGGACATTTTGGGTCTCTGTTTATTGGGTTCTTAGTTCTGCTGATTGCTGGCAACTTGAGTGGGAGAAAGGTTTGGGATGATAGCCTGCCCCATGTGAACTGGAGCTTTTCCTCCCATATTTGAGGGGTTGCGAGGTACTGAATCCGAAGGTCTTTGGGAGCCTTTGAAAGGTCGTAAGCGGCCTTTGGGCATGAAGTGGAGTTGCAACTGGCGATGCCCAGCATGATGGGTCCCTTGTGCAACTGTCGAGTTGCATATTGGCTGCACTTGATCACGAGGCCCGGCTGGCAGCAGAGAATCTGCATGCCGGGCTTGCCGGGCATGCCCGCCCTGATGCCGGACACCCCGGGTCTCCGGGTGGCGTGGGGTGCTTAGCGCTGTTGACATGGAAGTTCAACTCAGCTGTGGGGGGCAGGTTTTGGATATCGGTCTCCACATGTGCACGTGAGCACAGGGCCTGTGTGACCTGACAACAGTTCCATGTGATCATGGCTTTGTGCTAGACATGCCTCACACGTGCAGAACGCTAAGTCGCTGAGGCACTTGGGTCGGCCGTGATGCCGGGTGCTACATCACCAGCTTGGCACCCAGACAAGATCAGGCAAGGACACGGCCTTTGTGATCTGAACGTGTCAAATGTGGTCTTGACTTTGCCTGAGTCATGCTTTCCGCGTGCAGAGCGAGTCGCTGAGGCACGTGGGTCCGTTATGGCGGGCGCTTCGTCATTAGTCTTTGCCTGACACCCGGACAAGGAAGGTGCGATAACTTTCTTATGTGTTGAAAGGCGTTTCACTGGACTCCGCGACTTCATTTTGAAGTTTTTTGCTCTTTGGAGTTTTTGAATGCTTTAAGAGGCCTCAGGGTCTTTCTGGACTACGTTTACCGTCGCAGACGTCATGTTTTTTTTTTGCATGCTTAGTTTGAGCTCCGCAAGCACCACATCTCCCCAAGTCGGCATTGAATGAGTGGCAGAACGTGAGGCCCGGCCAGCTGCAGACAACCTGCAGGCCGCGCATGCCCAACGTGATGCTGGACATCTTGGTTCTTTGGGCGTGGGATTCTTAGTTCTGATTGCCACTGGCAACGCTGGTGTCGGTGGACAGGCTTGGGATGATGGCCTGCCCCACGTGAACTGGAGCTTCTTCTCCAATATTAAGGGGCTGCGTTGGGTACGTGAATCCGAAGGATTCTTGGAGCCTTTTAACGGTGGCAAGCGACCTGGTGGCAAAGTGGGATTACAACTGGCAATGCCCAGCATCATGGGTAGCCTGTGTCAAAACATGTGCGTGACCCCCTCTTTAGTCGCAGAAGGTCTGCGCTTGATGCACTCACCACGAGGCCCGGCCGGCAGCAGACACTTTGCATGCCGGGCTTGCCGGGCATGCCCGGCCTGATGCCGGACACCCCGGGTCTCCGGGTGGCGTGGGATGCTTAGCGCTGTTGACACGGAAGTTCAACTCAGCTGCGGGAGGGAGGGTTTGGGACACCGGTGTCCACAAGTGCACGTCAGCACTGGGCCCGTGTGATCTGAGAACAGTTACATGTGATCATGGCTTTGCGCGATCGCTGAGGCACTTGGGTCGGCCGTGATGTCGGGCGCTTCATCCTTAGCCTTAGCTCGACACCCGGACATGGCGATGGTGCGGTCACCATGGCCATGCCGCAGACGATGTTATGGACAATGTTCCACTGAAGGCTTCCCAAAACTTGGTGGGATAGCGAAGTTGTTGAATCACGGGACTTCTTGTTGAGGGGTTTAGTGTTTGTATCGCGCTGCGCTGAACTGTTGATTTTGAAGGCACGGAATTATATCAAGTCGGCATTGACTGAGTCGCAGCATGTGAGCCCGGCCTGCAGAGAACCTGCAGGCTGGGTATGCCGGGCATGCCGGGCATGCTGGGCCTCCGGGCGGCGTGCGGGGCTCAGCGCTGTTGACGTGGAAAGCCCTTTGGTCGCTTTTGCGACGACTTGCGAGGGCTTTGTGTGAGACTAGACGGTGGAGCTGCTGAGGCACTTGGGTCGTCCGTGGCAGGCGCCTCATCAGAAGCCTGATGCTCAGACAAGGAAAGTTGCATTAGTTGAATTAGATAAGTGTGTTGCATGCACACGCGGAAATGTCAAACGTTTTGTCAGCCCTCTTGCGAAGAATACCCTGTGCCCCAGTTACCACTATGATAGGAAACCAGGAGGTTCACCATTAGGCTGGGAAGCCACCAACTGAGGTTGTATGAAAAAGACACGTTGATTTAAGCTTACAATCCTGCATTGTGCAACTGATGGGCTGTGGCATGCCACAAACCCTCCTAACTGTGGCATGCCACATGCAACAAAGCGAGCAAACAAAGAAAAAAACACGCCACGCCTCACCTCGGTATACCAAACCAAACAAACAGAATATGCATGAGAAAAGAAAATAATAAAAACAAAACAAGCCAAGCAAACTAAGCGAACCAACTAAAGCCAAACACGAAACAAGCCAAACAAGGCAAGCAAGCAAACCAACAAACCAATCAAATCAACCTACCAACCAAACAAACAAACAAAAGAAACAAACCAATTGTAAACGAGCGAGCGAGCGAGCAAGCAAGCAAGCAAGCAAGCAATCCTACCAACAAGCAAACAAACAAACACACAAACACACACACACACACACACACAAACACACAAGCAAGCAAAGAAGCAAGCAAGCAAACAAGCAAACAACCGAGCCAATAAAATAGAGAAAAAACACAAAGAATCAAACAAACACACAACGAATGAACCAATCAATCAACAAACAAGCAAACAAACAAACAAACAAGAAGCAGCAACACAAGACCCAGCTTTTTGGGCGAACTAGCTTCCTTTGGAGAGCAGTGAGTAGCTGGAACTTGCCCTTTGCGGCCTAGGTCCCCCAGTAGTGACCTTTTACCCTTCTTTGGGGGAGGGTTCCCCCACTAAAATGGACTACAGAAAAAAAGCGTACCCTTATTCTAATCTCTCTACTGGAGGACCAAGAAGCTTTTATCCGCATGACTGACCTAAATTCTATTTCAGAAGGCCTTTAGCGCCGCCCCAGGCGCTACATATGCCTCAGCCGAGCCTCCAGCCACAGGCCAGAGTCCAGCATGTGGCTGTCCCCAAGTCCTGTTTGGGACGGGGTGAGTGGCCAAGCATCCCCTTGGTACATTTTGCCAAAGGATGTTAGGACTTTAACTTGTTGCCAACTAATGGGTTTTCCATTAATCCACTAGAAGTTAAACTTTTAGCAGGGGAGCAGAAAGCAACCAAGATCCTGTGTTGTTTTTTGGCGGGCCTTGTCAATTAGCAAAACGAGCGTCCATTTCAAAACCTTGGGCCAGGTAAGTAGGAGTTTGCTAGGAATGCCTGGATCGCTGTGACGAAAACAGAGGTCCGCAGGGTCACCCCCGGGGGGCCGCGGCCTCTAAGTGACTGGACGCCCAAGCCGTGGTTTCAGCCCAAGAGAGTTTCGGCTTCAAAGTTGGTTTTTCGGGCGGATGTGCTGATGTCTAGAAGGATGCCATACGGTCGCGTTGCGAAATGAAGGAAAGCACGAAGTGGGTGGCTTTCTGGTGCTTGCCCGTTTCAAGACACAATGCGAGAGGCGTTTTTTTTTGGCCAAGTCCATGTCCGGTCAACGGTAATTATTTTTTTGCAAATGAGGCGCTAGTTTCCGGCTTCCAAATCCACTACAAGGTCCATAGTTTCCGGCTTCCCTTGTGGTGAAACTGTGGGTTAGGACTTGGGGGTGGGACCAATGCGAGGCCAAGCCACTGAGCGCTTTGCAGTTCATGTCGGAGCCGCGTGCTCGGCGCCCCAAGGTGCCGATCGATCCGGGGGGTGAGATGTGGAGGCAAACCAAGCCTTCGGGTGGAGTCGGAGGCAAACCCAAAGCTTGCCAACTTTTAAATAAAAATAAACTAAGGTACTTATTCAATCATTGTGTTGGATTGGTGGCTGGGAGGTGTTCCTGGGTTTCCCGTTTCTTTCCCCCACAAGAATGGAATGAGGGGTTCAAAGCCAAACCCATTAATTTTCGGGGTTAGGTGAACCCATGTCGACCCATGGCCTGTGAAGAATCGCAAGCTTTGGGTTTCCTCGATTTTTACGTAGGCGATGGAAGGAGAGGCATCAGCCAGGTTTGGGGTTGTTCCCACCCCAAACTATATCCGGGGCTTCCAATGGTCCAAGACCCCAGCCACCAAGGATATGTGTCATAGCGGGCCCCCAAAAAAAGCCTCTTTTGTCTTCCTTGTGCCAAAAAAACAAAAAAACACTCCCAAGTGTGTTTTGGACCTGACTTTGGGAGGGTCCCAAGCCAAACGACCCCACGCCAAGGGTTCACATAGCCTCAGGCCTCACCGCCGCGGAACACTTTGACCAAGTACTCCTCCTGGCCCAGCCCAGCTCAGGCTGGGGCCAAAACCCCCTTCCCCGGCGGCTCCGATCATGGGAGCGTGGGTTTTTTGGGTTGAAGAAAATCGCGAGGCACATGGGGCCCCAGCCATCCGAGGTCCGGGCTCGTTGGGTAAAGTATATGGTACGATGGGAGAACTCGATGTTTCTAGTTGCGACTGCAAGCTTTTTGATCCATTTCTTGGGTGTCCAGTGTCCATTCTTCTGTTTTCCAGCTGGAGGACGTGCCTTTGTTTGCATTGTTTTGTTTCGCCCGTGTTTCTTGTTGCATGGCTTGAAGTCGAAGTCTAAGTCCATTCAAGTTGGGTTGTCCGCTTGCAGGCCCGGGTGCGTGTTTGGCATGGACGGTTTGAGTTATCCACTGCGAGTGGTTGCAGTGCCCCTTGCGGATTTCAACAAGAAGCCTAAGGCTTAGATTGGTCACACGAATCTGTGATTTTTTGCGATGATGTTGTGCCCACTTGGATGTGTGGCCAGTTAGTAAGTTGTTAGCTGCCTGTGTTATGTCCCACTAGTCACAAGGTTAGCTCCACTTTATGGGACTGATAAGGAAGTTAGTTTCGCCATCAGCAATCAGAGGGCGCATGATACAAGGTTGACCGATGATGTACCGCAGTCAATCCAGCAAGTGCATCCTACTTGAAACAACGGGGGGGGGGTCTTTTTGCCACCTTTGGCGGAACAATGATCGACCCCCTTGTAGTGAAGGATTCCTTTTGAGAGGGTCGCCAATTGTTTCACGAAAGGTGGCAAAAAGACCCCCCTGCTTGAAACAACGGGGAAGGCTGAGCCGCATGAAAGTGTCCTGTGGCTGGAGTAGCTGTAAGTAAAATACACAGAGTGGCAGCCAGCAGAAGTGGCGGCCTCGGCTGCTCTTTTGCCCCAGCCTCAGCAGAAAAGCAGCCATCCCACCAGCTTTCTTGTACATGCACCCGGCATGAGGTGCACTTTAAGTCTAATGCTTTCCGGCTCTCTTCACTAGGTCTCACAAATTCCCCCAGCCGAACCAACCGAAACCCGGAGCACACCACTTGACGCCTATTGCCTTTTGGGTTGGATCTTTAGACTTTAACTTTTCGGACATTTAAAGGTGTGTTTTCCACTAAATCCCCAAAAAGTTACTTTCCACTAAATCCCCAACAAGTTAACTTCCAGTAAATCCCCAAAAACTGATTTTCTAGTAAATCCCCAAAAAGTTACTTTCCACTAAATCCCCAAAAACTTATTTTCCAGTAAACCCCCAAACAGTTACTTTCACTACATCCAACTCCCCTAAAAAGGTACTTTCCACTAAATCCCAAAAAACTTACTTTCCACTAAATCCCAAAAAAGTTACTTTCCACTAAATCCCCCAAAAGTTATTTTCCACCAAATCCCCAAACCGTTACTTCCACTAAATCCCCAAAAAGTTTCTTTCCACTAACTCCCAAAAAAGTTATTTTCCACTAACTCCCCTAAACATATTTTCCACTATCTCCCCAAAAAGTTACTTTCCACTACATCCCCAAAAACTCGTTTTCCACTATCTCCCCTAAACAGTTACTTTCCACTAACTCCCCAAAAAGTTATTTTCCACTAACTCCCCAAAAGCTTACTTTCCACCAACTCCCCAAGAGCTTACTTTTCGCTAAATCCCCAGCAAGTCATTTTCCACTAAATCCCCCAAAGTTATTTTCCACTAAATCCCCTAAACAGTTACTCTCCACTAACTGCCCAAAAGGTTACTTTCCACTAAGTCCCCAAAACCTTATTTTGCACTAAATCCCAAAAAAATATTGTCCACCAAATCCCCAAAAAGTTACTTTCCACTAATTCCCAAAAAACTTTTTTTCCGCTAAATCCCCAAAAAGTTACTTTCCACTAAATCCCCCAAACGTGATTTTCCACTAAATCTAAAAAAATACTTTCCACTAAATCCCCAAACAGTTATTTTCCACTAACACCCCGAAACCTTATTTTCCGCTACTTCCCCAAAAAGTTATTTTCCACTAAATCCCCAACAAGTTATTTTCCACTAAATCTAAAAAAAGTTACTTTCCATTAAATCCCTAAAAAGTTTCTTTCCACTAACTCCCCCAAAAGTAATTTTCCACTAAATCTCAAAAAATACTTAAATTAAATTCACAAGCAGTAATTTTCCACCAAATCCCAAAAAGCTTATTTTCCACAACATCCCCCTAAACTTATTTTCCACTAACTCCCCAAAAAGTTACTTTCCACTACATCCCCGAAAAGCTTATTTTCCACTAAATCCCCAAAAAGTGAGACACTTTTTGCAGGGGGGTCGTTCCAGCAAAGCGCCTTGGAGCCTTGTAGCCTTGGAGTGGCTGAGGCCCGCTCAGCCGCCACACCCGAGGCGGCCGGGCCCGCGGGCGCTCGCGTTCCTCTCGGGTCCAATGCTGGGATGCAGCTGCCACCAGGAAGCTTCCGCCTGAAGAATATGTCTTTCTTTTGCCCTGTTGGTTTTAAAGGGGATCTACAACTCAAACAAATAGACGAACGGAAGGACGGAAGCAACCAAACAAACGAACGATCGAACTACCAGCCAGCCAGCCAACCAGCCAGCCAGCCAGCCGGCCACCCGACCGACCGACCGACCGACCAACCGACTGACAACAAGCAGGCAAGCAAGCCAGCAAGCCTCCAAGCCAGCAAGCCAGCCAGCCAGCCAGCCAGCCAGCCAGCTTGGAAATAGTTGTTTTTTTGTTTTCAGGGGGCTTACGCAAATGGACGTACAGAATGGTGGTGGATACAGGGCCACCGTTCTTTGCCCTTCAGGAGTTTCATCTAAATTTGGTGCTTGCCATTCTTTTGAAGGGGGTTGAAATCTAGGGGACTCGTTCGGTGGTTGAAGTTTCCATCGCACTGATGATTGAAAGGGAACCCAGGAGATGGGTGTGGGGTTCAACAATAAAGAGCTACTAGGTCGCCCAGTAGTGCCCTTTTACCCTTTTTTGGGGGAGGGTTCCCCCTACTAAAATAAACTCCAGAAAAAAGTTGGTACCCTTGTTCTAACCTCTCTACAGGAGGACCTAGGCTGGGGTTACTGCAGGAATTTGGGTCTTCGGTTCCATGCCAATTTGGGCTCAAGCTACAGCCCAATTTGGCTAAGCCTTTGGGCCGCGCCCGCGGCAAAAACATCCAACCAATAAACACCGGCGCCGCTTTTGCAGAGTTCAGGGGCTCTACTTTTTGGGTTTGGAAAATTTCTCAGTTGGTCAAAGCCGACCTTTTGAACTTTTGGTTTTCCCTGTTTGGTCTATTTTTAGTAGGGGTCCCAAAACCTTTTGTGGATGGGTCCTTTGGGCAAGTGAGTTTTGGTGACAAACAAAAAGCGTTTAGACTTTTCCTGGCCAACAGACTCAGAAAAGATGAGAACAGCAATTTCAGCGCTCACTTGGTTTCTTGAAATCAGGTCGAAAGGGGAGACTGATTTCACAAGTGTCGGCAATTTCTGAACTTTCATGTCCCAGGCTGGTTTTCCTTTAAACCCACCCAAAAGGGGAACCCTCTATAGAAAACGACCATGCAGTTTATCCTAGCCTTCAAGCCAAAGAAGGCATCGAGGGCTTTCTCCCTGGCCCATTTTCGTTGACGAGCCCGGATGCCAGGCCCAGTGATTCTAGTTTACTGCACGAATACATGGCAACCGGCCTTAACCCCCCACCCAAACAAATAAAAATAGTCTGTTTTTCAAAAAAAACAACGATGTGCTCTTAGGAATTGCCCAGCTTGTGCCCTCGTATCAATTTCGAGTGTCCAAGACTGCCCGCGGCTTCTTCAGGGAAGCCGGGGGGTGTTGGCATCTGCAGCCCCAAAGCCTGTGGTTTGTTCGTGCGGGTCATGCCACGCCCTATCCCCGGCAACCGCCACAAGGGAAGTTCTGACCGGCCAGGGCCGAGTGCTTAGCCCCTCGTCTTTGCACTCCAGCGCCTGTGCCTCGATGACTTCGAACAATGCCCGCTTTGCGCTTCATTTGCCATCACTGGGACCTGTCTTTTTTTTGTGGTTGGGATGGCTGAGACGTTGGAGCTGTTTGTTTTTTTGTTGTGTGATCATGGTTGGCACACTTTTGTTGCTCCAGACCATTTTTAGACCTATGGCGCCTCTTGTCTTCGGCGGTTGGGGCCCCACTTTGGGCCTCCGAGGCCTCGGACGACCGACTGGACCGCTTGGCGCGGGGCTCGGAACCCATCCAGCGCTCAGTGCCACCGTGGGCTCAGTGCGGATGGGAGCGGATGCGCTTTCTCCCGTGGCAAATGGCTACTGGTGATCGGCGAATGTGTGCAGGGTTCCCTGCTTGGCATAGTCTTAGATGTGTTGGAGTATGGAGGGATTTGACCTCTTCTCCTGCTATTGTGCTCTTGGCTGAAAGATTAACAGGGGATGCCGGGCACTATCAAGCCTTTCGTTGCCTCCTTGTTTACCTCGTTGTCATGGGGGATCACAGGGTTTCTGACAGCACTTGCGAAAAACCGAGCCTCTCTACTCGCCTTGTTCGAAGCTGGTATAGATTGCAACTTGCGAAAGCTCGTCGGCCTTTTGACTTTTAAGCCTCGGTGCGATGGACCTGTTCTTAGGTTTTTGCAAGTGCCCAGCTGCGACTCAGGCGTTGGCATCAAAGATGGTCGGAACCTGAGCGGTTTCTCTCACGGACCCTCCGCAAACCGGGAATCCCTTGAAGGCCATGTGGACCCCTTCTGCCTTCGACCCAGTTTGTTTCCTTGGTGCATTTTGCTTGGTTTTAGGACTGGACACTTTTTGCCAGCTCACGGGCTTTCCGCATTAAACCACCAAAAGTCAACAACTTTTGGCAGGGAGCAGCAAGCAACCAAGGTTTCCTTGAGGCTCAGCTTGGAACACACGCTTCTCCTAAACCAGATCGGAGGTGCAAGGTCGGCGCATCTCTTGGAGAGCCACGTGCCGGGAGTCTCACGCAAATGGCCGCCGCGCCTCTCTGACAAAGAAAAAGAAAAGCAGCAACGGGTCATGGGACCTGAAGCGAAAGCGAACCGGGCTGGCCGAGATCATCTGGACTCATTGACATGCCCTGACGTTCGTCAGAGCCTGAATATGAACCACAATCAACCACATGTTTTTGTTGTTTTTTTGGAGTGGGAAGTTGAGGTAGAACAGTTGGGACCTTTCCTGGGCCACTCCACCCAGAAAGTGAGCCCCAAATGGACTTGACAAAGAGCCCAGTCGAGGCGAGCAAGCTGAAACGAGCATCTGCGAACGCAGCCGGCCGCCCCAGTGCACCGGCCGATGTGTGCTGATGCCAAGTTGACACTATTTCAGACGTATCAAGGGTACATTGAAGCCTAGCAGTGACATGACTATTCCGGACCTCCAAGAGCCACGAAGGGCCATGACATTCCCCTGGCTCCTCTTGCTATGACTCATGAGACTTGGATTGAGGCGATATAAAGTCCTGGGATGATCCCCTAGCTCATTGGCCGAACACCATGGGTCATACAGACCAATGCAACCAGTATTGCAAGGCTTTTGCTGACACCCGGGAAATTGATAAATAGAGGGAGGGGCGCCCCACCTGCCGCCCCTTTATGTCCGCTAGCTTCAGCTCAGACAAATGACTTTATGTTCTAGGTTTCGCAGTAGTGCCCTTTTACATTTTTTTCGGGGGAGGGTTCCCCCACTAAAATAGACTACAGAAAAAAGTTGGTACCCTTAT